ACCATGTGTATTGCCACAAGATGGTGATGTTTACAAAGTGTAATGCCACTAGAAGGTAATTTTTACCAATGAAGTTTCCACTAAATGGTTCAAAATTAGGTGACTAAATATACTATGATGCAGAGAAATACAGGGTATTCGAGACTGACGGGAAAGAGAAACATGGGAATTGGCAGCAGTTTTAGGAATCAGGAATGGGCGTGTTACAGTTACCATGGTAAATGTTAATTTCACCAGGACAGCTAAAGTTCACTCATATTATGAGCCACTAGAAGGTAATTTTTACCAATGAAGTTTCCACTAAATGGTTCAAAATTAGGTGACTAAATATACTATGATGCAGAGAAATACAGGGTATTCGAGACTGAAGGGAAAGAGAAACATGGGAATTGGCAGCAGTTTTAGGAATCAGGAATGGGCGTGTTACAGTTACCATGGTAAATGTTAATTTCACCAGGACAGCTAAAGTACAAATCAAAGACACCTTCATATCCCTTATCTTTCCACCATGTGCACAGCTGACGATTCCATGTACATGGCAGAACATAAAAAAGATTCTTATTTTCTAAACTAATAAGAGTGAAAAAGTCCTGGTCACCTAGATGACCCTTGAAGGAATATTTGTCAGATAATGCACGCACAACATCCACGTCCAAAAAAGCATTATACGATATGCTACTTTGCATACGTTCTAAATCTAATAACATTACACCACTATTGAATCCAGACAATCCATTTGGAGGTGGATCACCAACCAATGTTCCTGGATTCTGTGATCTATAGAGTGAAAATGTATGCCTGTATACAGGTTGTTGTTCATGCGCAATACCTATAACATTACCTGTCTCAAAGTTGTCAAAATGCTGGAAAAGTTTTTTGATATCTGTACGGAATTTAAGATCAGAATCTATCATAATGAGCTTCTTGACTTCACTAGGTAGAATATTTTTATGCAATGCAACTGACAGAAAGAAGATAGCTTCCATGTAATATTTGTGCTTGCCAGTACTGATATGCTCTTGAAGCATTTTGACATGATCTATCAACGTCTGAGTCAACTCTTCTGCATTAAGGTAAGTCACCTGGAGAAAAAAAACATAGCACAACTATTACAACCTTGCCCATTGAGAATCTAGATATTAAATAACAAATAAGAATTCAAAATGGGTACTAACTAACTATGTATTTGTTGTCTGGGACATTTTTTTTTCTTGCAAGACAAAAGTTTCAATCAAAGTTCTGATACAATACAATAATATATATATATATATATATAAATAAATAAACAGACAGACAGCACTAGTGACCATTTAGAAAAGATTTCATTCACAATAGTTGTTCTGTCGATGTTTACTGTAACATTTTGCACCAAATAAACATTAATTATTACTCTGAATAATACCGGTCTTGTTTAAATTAATTGAAAAAATTAAGCAGGTTTATTTTGTAAATGGTGACAACAGTTGACCTTGACATTCAAAGTATTAAAGCAGATTTGGACCAATCAAAAATACTGGAATGTCTGCACAATATACATTTGTAGTGTTAAATACAAAGTGTTACAGACACATTCAAGAGTCATCCTTTTTTGGAAATTGTGCATCACATTTATGTCACACTCAAACACTTCTTAGTTCACATCGTATATAGCAAAAATGTATCACAGGACTGAAATAGAATCACGTCACTCAATGCAAATAATGACGCAAGCATGAATACTTTTCAGCTGTTCTATATTATCAAATTAAAACTACACACAGAAAAAGATGTATAACAAAAAAGCCATCAGAGACGAGGGGATGCCTTGGTCATCTTTATTACAGTTTAAGCAGATTTGAGGGAAGGGTGTACATTTATTGAAGGTGGGTATAGTCGGCTTATAATTATATAATTCAGAATTGAGAATAGGTCACTGGTTAATGAAGTTGTAGTTTGCCTGCAAGCAGGTTGTAAAATACGTTGCTAGAAAGGGAAGTGTAGGTAAACAGTCAGCCAATACTGTATGACCATTTTCAAGTTCCTTTAGTTGTGACTATGAACAGTAGTAGCCACTATATCACAACAAAGGATACTAAATAAAGTTAAGCACTGGTTGAACCACAGTCCCTCTATCACCGGTCTGGAAACGCTTAGTATTCTATTGTACTAACCCTCGTAACGGGCAAATAAATCGTTGACACCTTACGCCAAGTTATCCTGAAAATAAACTCCCATTGATGTAGTCGTGCATATCATTAACCCACTGGAAGTTACCATGATACTTAGCGATTTGGGTCCTTGTGCAT